TGCGGAACGCCATCTTTAAACCCCATACGAGGCCAGCAGCACCAGCAGCACTGAGCTACAGTTCAACACCGGGGTGAAAAACAACACAATCCATACAGCGCTTGAAAGATTCAGATCCGTGACTTTTGGATCTCTGCCTCCCCCTAAACACGGTGATGAGAGACAGTCTTCTGGGATTGTGAGAAGACATTGAAAGGACATGGGCAGGGACCGAAAATGTTGTTATACTAGGCAGACACAACAATAGGCGGAAAGACAACAACAACGGACTGGCTAGGTTAGCTTGCTGGCTAACTTACCCGCTAGTCTGTTGCTAAACCATCCTGTGCGTTGTTTCACATGCTACTTGAGAAAGCTGGCAAGACTTTTCTCTCTCATCAATTCTTTAATCTAATATCTGGTCGGCATCCGTGACTACCCGTCAGTGGACTTTGTAGACCATCCAGGCTTGTCTCCGTGCATTTGTGAGACAGCTGAGACAGGGTTTTTACTAGTGTCGTTGCAGCTAAGCTAAGTCCCCGCTCCTCCCCAGCGGCCCAGTCGGAGATGCATGGAAGATGTCGGTGTCGGGGCTGAAGGCCGAACTGAAGTTTTTGGAGTCTATTTTTGATCCAAATCACGAACGATTTAGGATCATTGATTGGAAACCTGACGAACTAAGCTGTCAGTTTAATGTGACCAGAGAGAAGCTGTTAATAATACACTGTAACATTACGGTAAGCGAGCAAAAACATAACAACTGACTTGTTAGTCACTAGCAGGCTAAAGTTAGCTGGCTAACTTTAAAATGTGTAATGTATTGGATATCTAGTTTACTCCAGTGACTCATGGATTATAAGATACGACAGATCGTTTTGTTCAGTTTATTTTAATCCACAGTTATGTAGAATGTTATTGTGAGTACAATTATTTGATAGTTAATTTAACCTAAATGCTAAACAAGCTCCAAGCTAATAAGGCTATTCTGATTATTACAGTACGACTGTAATGTCGTTGCATGATGTGACAACCCCCAATTACTTGACGTTTTTATTGTCTAAATTGTCTGTGTTCTTTGAACTATCTTTAGGAGTCTTATCCGTCTACACCACCGATATGGTTTGTAGATTCGGACGATCCAAGCCTTGCACAAGTTTTAGAGCGGTTGGAAGATGTGAGAAAAGGCAGCACCTTGGTAGGTCACCAGGTCACATGTAATAAGATTATGTTCTCTGTAATATCACAGTAAGTGAAATGTCAGACGTTTATCTGCATCACCGGCTTTGCATTCACAAGGTGTTTAGATTCTGCCAGATGAACCAAGTTCACAACACTAGCCTATTCAAAAACACTTAATCCATAGTCCATTTACCCACGAAATACAGACACTTTGCTTAAAGATAGTCGGCCTCTAATTATTGTAACCGCATTACATTTTTCTATATTTTTTAGCTTTTACAACAGCTGAAGAAACTCATTTGTGACCTATGTCGGTTGTACAACCTTCCTCAACATCCTGATGTTGAAATGCTTGACCAGCCTTTGCCTGCAGGTCCTGTAGGGCAAGACCGAAAGGTAGTTACTGAACAGATTATACTCTCTCATATCATTTTTTCTTATGCAAACATCCAGTTAAGCTATTAAGCTCTGAATTTGAACTTCTGTTCTGTGTGTTATCAGCATGGAACAGAGGAAGTTACATCTGAGGAAGAAGAGGAGGAGGAGATGGGAGAGGCATGTCACTAATAATTTTTTATATTATTACATTTATATTTATATAATATGACCTGATAATGATGACATAATAAACTACATATGCACTGTAGGACATAGAGGATCTGGACCACTATGAAATGAAAGAGGAAGAGCCCGTGGAAGGAAAGAAATCAGAAGATGATGGCATTGAAAAAGAAAATCTAGCCATCTTGGAGAAAATTCGGAAAAACCAGAGACAAGATCATTTGAATGTAAGTGATGTAAGTTTTAACTAATCCATACTGTTTGTGTATATTTGGTATGATTGGATAAAAAAAAGTCTGGTTACCTTGTTTACTTAATACAGCATGGGGTAGTTTTGGTTATTAAATTTCCTTTGATAGTCCATTTTATTTAGTTTCATATTTTTAGGGTTATTGCAAAATGAATGCCACCTTGACAGCAGACTTTAAGTCAGACTCCTTTTTTTTTTCCTTTGACAGGGAGCTGTGTCTGGTTCAGTACAGGCATCTGATCGCCTAATGAAGGAATTGCGAGAAATCTACAGGTCTCAAAGTTACAAGACAGGTAGTTATTTACTCATTCAATAATCACAATAGTTGACCTGGAAATACTAATGAGGCCTGGGATGTAACTTAAACCCCTTTTTGAAGGTATCTATTCCGTGGAGCTTGTTAACGACAGTCTCTATGAATGGCACGTCAAATTGAGAACGTAAGAGACTGACTCAAAGATGTTCTGTGAGTGTTGTTTCAAAGTTCAAATTAACTCTGTTTTGATACTTGCAGAGTGGATCCAGATAGTCCCTTGCACAGTGATTTACAAGTCCTAAAGGAAAAGGAGGGAATGGATTACATCTTATTAAACTTTTCCTATAAAGTAAGTCAACAATAATGTTGCATGCAACCACAACAATGTCCTTCTCAAGTTGACCATTGATATTGTGTCATTTTGTAACTGATTTAAAACATATTTTTGTAGGATAACTTTCCATTTGATCCACCATTTGTGAGAGTTGTTTCACCAGTGCTTTCTGGGGGGTAAGTGTTTTTGCTTGCATACAAATGGATTTTACTTTAATTTGTCAGCCAAAGATATGCCTTGTGCAATTAGTAGGCTAAAATGTTGCACTGATAATTGGACATTGAATTTCCTACTTTTTTGTTTGTTTCAGCTATGTTCTCGGTGGAGGTGCCCTCTGCATGGAACTTCTCACCAAACAGGTAAATTGTTATATTTATGAATGTTGTATTTAAAAAGGTAGAAAGTTTGTTACAGTTAAGAATAAAAGATGAGTGAAAGTGCCTACCTCAATGATAAGTTGTTGAATAGAAGTAATTGAAAATGAAGCTTTAATTGTTTCTCCATGTGTTTCCTGCTGGTCTGCAGTCCATCATTGTCTTTTCATAACTGTATTTACTTTGGTATTTATGGGTGAATTTACCGTATTTTCCGGGCTATTAGACGTGCTCTTAAACCTCTAACCCCATCAAAAAACGACAGCACGCCCCGCAATCCAGAGCGCCCCATACACGAATCCACTTGGGTGTCCCATCACAACTTCAGTAAACTACAAAGCAGCACCACCCGCAGCACACGCAAACACACAGCAGACAGCAACCGCGCAGCGAAACACACCCTCAGCCGCACTCATCACTCCACGCAGATGAGGAACGGAACAACTGAACAACTGAGTCACAGCGAACACGCCAACAATCCAGCGGTCCCAGACAGCGCCCTCCCTATGTGCCACAAATGAACAAAGCCGAGAGACACCGTGAATGCGCCAAACAAAGTCCGACTGACCCATCCAACTGTTGTGTTTCGTTTAAAGTCCAGTGCGGTTTATTTGTGAAGAAAGTTTGAAAATAGACCATTTAATGACAGTGCGTCTTATAATCCAGAGCGCCTAATAGCCCGGAAAATATGGTAATTCTCTTCAGCACGTGGCTGAAATATGAGTTCTGAACAGTCATGGTGCTGTGAGATCAAGTAGATCGACTCAGATATATATAGCTTCTTCTCCACCAGTAGGTGAATATTTGAGTAAAAATGTCTTAGAAGCAAACCTACAATGGCAATAATCTTTTCATTAATTTCTAACACACATTTTTCTTATTGAAGGGCTGGAGCAGTGCCTATTCTATTGAGTCTGTCATCATGCAGATCAATGCCACTTTAGTCAAAGGAAAAGCCAGAGTGCAGTTTGGAGCAAATAAGGTAAGAGGACTTCATCAGATAAAATCAAGATATGGACAGAAACAGTTAGTCTTGACTAAAACGAAGAGAAGAGAGTACTGAAATTGTTCAAGCTACAATCTATTGTGAAAATATCCAAACAGTGCTAGATGTGGGGGTTCATCCCTGCTGATATTATAGTTTCTTGAAATTTGAGATGGGGCATTAGCATTTTCCTTGTTTATTGAGGAATACATTTGTTCAGTTTTTGCTCTCATTTGACTTTTTTTCTCCTTGCAGAATCAGTACAATCTTGCCAGAGCACAGCAATCCTACAAATCTCTGGTTCAGATTCATGAAAAGAATGGTGAGTTTTTGGTCTCCTATTTCAAGTGCATTCAAGGGCATTAGCAACCTTATTTACTGAAACTATTTACTTGAGCCTCTCAAACACAGAGCAGTAGTGCATGGAACAAACAGTGACTTTGATAATACACATCTAGTCAACTCTGACCTTTTTTATAACCTGTTTGAAACAAGTTATTGAATATTAGGGAAGATTGTTAGAGAAAAACTAATTTCAAATAATGCATGTTAACATGGGCTACCAAAATATTATCTAAACTAGATCTAGTGTGCTCTGGGCACAAACGTGGTATGAATTCGAACTGATGTGGCTTAGCCTTGGCAGACATGCCGTCTGTGCTGTAGACTAATTGTGTGTTTTATTATTTAAATTTTAAAAGAATCCTTATTTACACTCCTGGTCCTGTGTTTTATTTCCAGGCTGGTACACACCCCCAAAGGAGGATGGCTAGCACAGACTTGGTTTTTCCTGCTGTGGGACCCATATGTCTTAGTTCACTTTAATCATGACCAATACATCTTTTTGAGGACTTTGTTTTGTTGTACACAAGAGTGCAAGAGTGTGAACTCTCGACAAATTTCCAGATGACCCAGAACGAATAGCCCAGCCCCTCACCACAAACTGCCCTGCCTGCAGTTGCTCTCCAGGGCGGTCTCTTCCCAGATATTTATCTATCAGTATATCTGTTGTTCAGTTTTCCATTGCGTCATCATCCCATCCTCCTGGAAAGGACTAATATCTGAATCAGCTCTTTGGTTTCGGCGTGCGGCATGCCAAGGTTGCTTTCTGGCTGTAAAGTTGAAAGTTGTGGCATGACTTTATTTGAATGGAGGCCCGAGTACCTCCCCTGTAGCCGCTGCCTCCCTGACCTCAGACTGGATATTAAGAACTTGTGTTGCTTGATGATTGGTGGTGGCTGGAACAAATCTTTTTTTCTGCTGGTGAAAATGGCGCTTTTTTTTTTTGTTGTTTCATGGATGACCTCTGTGTTAATTTTCTCATGTATTGTCTTTAAAATGCCAAGATCCCCTTTCCACAATTATATTGCTTCTGAGGATGGCTTATTTTTAAAAGCTTTTATATTATAATGTGAAGCCTTGGAGTGATGAGAGGAAAGAGTAGACCCCACTCATGGGTGGGAAGAATTGTGGAAAGAATAAGACTTTTTGCTTTTGGGTCACTGCTATTGCCAACACCAGCATCTGGACCACTCTGTGCAGGAGAGAGCTGGTGTGTCTCTTAGGCAATCCAAAACCAACTAAAGCAGAAGACTTGATATGTTAGGATCACACTGTAATGTAGTTGATTTTAATCTCAAATGTAAACATGTAAATTTGTATTTCTGAAAAAGGATTAAATTGTTTATATTGAACCATTGTGGGTCCTGGACAAGGCAGAGACTGATTTACCATGTACCATTTGACAACTGGGGCACTGCAGTTTCTCTAAAGCATTTAGGATAACTAAATATAAATAAAATATTCTTGCTGAAGGTAAAAGGCCAAGTAAGCCATGCCCATAAGTATCCATCACTATTGCAGGTTTTATTATTTTTGTGTGTATTCTCAAGTAATCAGAAACCGCACGTGTACACAATTGATTACACCTCTTCACTTTGATAAACAATAAAAACGGGCACAGCTGTTTATGACATTGCGGATAGGCTATTCTCTGATCACTCAAACCACATGAACCTCATTACGGCTATGCAGCAGAGATGTTTCATTATGTAACAGAAGTCTCAAAAGTAAGAAAGCTGCATAGCTCTCTCCGCACTTCCCTGCATTTAAGTGACCTTGGTCATTGATTGTTTTATTGACCTCATTCTAAAGTTTCACTTTTAAATTCACAGCAATAGCAATGCTTCTGTACAATGTCCGGCATCATATCTTACAGGACTGTGTCCTTATTGTAGAGTGTTCGCTCAGGTTTGATAAATACCAATGCTATCACATGAATGACCCAGTGCTTGCCACCTCAGCAACCCTTCAGCATGCTGATGCTTTGATGTAATTTGAATTATATGCAGGAAAATGGCGTGGAGCATTCTATTTGATGCAATTTGTGAGTGTTCTGTGGTGTGGCATTGTTTTCTTAGTATGTCGTCCCAACAACAGTGTAGAAAGTTTAGTTGTGAACACTCATACATACAGTCATTCCTAATTGCAAACTTTCCTTGCTTAACTAACCTCACAGCCAGAGCATATTTGTCTTAACCCAGAGTGTTCTTTATTCATTACTTCAAAACTCACCCTTTCTCAACATGGCATGATTGTTAATTGTTCAATTGGTTGGTCCAGCCCAATTTTAATTTCAGGAGAAGCAAACTCAGGAATATGTACCGCACACAACTAAAGGATCATTTCTAAATGACAACATATTTGTTGGAAGCTCGCACACATTACACCACCATGCATTGTAGTTTTGCTGTCATCTTTTCTATATGCCAGCATTGGTTTGGAATTTTAAACTACATGTCGTAATAACTTTCTATAACAGATTTTTGTTGCGAATTTCTCCCAAAACCTGTACTCACTCAAAATGCTCAGATGATACCTTCGGTAATAGCAGGTTTTGCATGACAGCACTGGACCTTCAAGTTACCGCAGAAATGTGGAGTTTACACTGTGTTTAAGTTGGATTCAAATAATGTGTTTTTTGTTTAGTTTTTTTTTTTTTTCCATGCCCTGAAACTACACAAGTACCTGCAGACAAGATAATAGTTAGAATCAAAAGCCCTATGATTCCCAGGAGTAATAACTGACTGCGATGCCGTTCCTTTGATTAAATACATTTGACTAACACACTCTATGGCAAGCAGCATATTGGCTGAATCTGGGCTCTTACATTGCTTATACAGCCACAATGGTCGGGTTAAAAGTTATGCACTGTTAGCATGCTTTGGTTGGTATCATTATTTCATTGCAAGGGTGGTTTTGACCATGTAAAGAAATTTGTAAACTTGCATCAAGTTTATGAATAAAGAAATGTCTGAAATCTTTGCATCTGTATATGATATTCTGTCTGAATAGTTTGACTAGTGTACAAGTGTATGTAGAGTGTAGTAGCCTAGTGTAGTGAAATAGATGATAATAAGCAGGAGGTAGCATTAGAACTCAGTTGAAGCACTTTGATAGACATTGTACAGCTGTGCTGTACTGAGGGCACTCCCTGCCAGCACCTGGCCTGTGTCACCAGAGGAATCCTTCCTACTGTGACCAGACAGGACAGAAATGAACAATAGTATTACAGTGTCTTGAGGCTTCATGTCTCCAGGTCCTTGGTGGTAAATAAATTTCCTCTACGTTAGGTACGCCAGCCTCATGCCTCTTCTTTTAAACTCTTGGTCTTCCACAAGTTTTGTGTAGAGAAGATGACAATGAGTAGTTAAGAGATGAGTAGCTAACATCAAAGGGCAGAGGAACAGCTCAGAAGTTTTAGTGACAAAGAGACCAGACAATGTAGACGTGCACAAATTGTTATGAGAGAAATAATTCAAAGAATATAAAAATATAGATTATTTCGCCTATAAAAAAGGCTGTTTACGTCTAATGAGAAATATTGTTTCAGAGTTGGATTTTCTTTCATTTCCAGTAGATGGCGCACCGTAATCTTGTTGCACGTTAGAGGTTTGTCTATGGTTTGATCATTGCATTGTGTGTGATACTTCAAAGATGATGTATGGACTGTGCTAGCCTTATATCCCTCACCAATGGTTACTGTTAGTGCTGTCACCCTGAAATCTCCAATTTTTCTATTTTATTATATTCTTCTCTAATTCTATGCAAATGTATTTAACAAATCCACTAGAAATTACCACTAGATGGCAGTGACACCCTTTTCCTCAAAACGTGCCGAGTAAATCAATCCAAATGAGTCCAAGTGATATTCCCTTGATGTTATCGCAAGGTTATGTTATCTGCCATCAGTGTCTATGGAGAAGACAGCACATCTTTCTGTTTGGGTTGGCCTATGTAGTGAGATGACCTATAGTTTTCAGTTGTTGGCATAACTGTCAGGCAGGTCTATTATTAGCTACATAAGACACTGTCAGATGTCAGCTAAGATATAAGGGTGGTTCAAACATATTGACTGATGTTGGTGGTGGGCATGAAGTATCCTGTAATGCACCTAAAAATTATACTTGGGTACATGCTTCAATGTATATATTTAATGCAGCATAGCCTCTAGCTCTCACAAACTTTTTGCCTCTAATATTCACATGCAAGGATGATTTGGGCACTAGCACAACTTTAGAACAGCGTTTTTAGAAATGAAAGTAAAGTTGAGTGGACCATCCTTGGACATCAACTCTCATATGTTGTCATATAGTGATTCTCAATGCTCAAGTTTGCAATAATTAAAACGTTCGACCACTAATGTGGAAATGGACAAATCAAATACATTGCTATACTGATAATTACAGTCTAGGCCTATTCAGTAATAGGGTATAAAGTAGCTGAATGTTAATCACTTGGAGGATGCCCTTTGGAATAGGCCTGTTGTAGAAACCACATTGTTTGAGTCACATTGAAAACGTTTAAATTGTTAAAAGAATAATCTGCCTCCTCTGTCCACACTCTTTTCACTGCTATAGTTTTTCATAACTATTCATATTTACGTTTTTTAACCTTGAGTTTCTCAAGTTTTATACAGCAGTTTAAATGCTGTAATATTGTATTGGATGTGTGATATTAAATATATGTCTGGTAAAAACTAGTTTAGTTTCAATATTCATTTTAGGCTAAATAAAACACATTTGAGAGGGTCATCCAAAAGACAGTCCAGCCCCTACAGCGTGTGGTCCACTGATATCGTTTTCCTGGCAGTGTGTTGCTGCCTAATAGAGAAATAGTTGTGCCACTCTACTGTGTGGCTCTTGTTAGAGTAAAATGAGAACACAGGCCCAGAGGTGCAGTAATGATGCCTGCTTTTGAAAGACAGGACACAATCAGGACTTAAATAACCAATCCTATTGTAGCTTTGAACAAGCCACGACAGAGCAGAGCATCTGGAGCGCTATAAGACAGATGTCATGTCCACTCAGTGACACTGTGGTCATAAAGTGTGCACCCGCATTCTGTTCTTCTCCTGCCGGCTCCGCAGCAGAACAAAGAAATCTATCTAATGTCACTGTGTCAGAGCTGTATCTCTCCTCACCAGTATACGCCTGTCCTTGAAGGGAAGTGTCTCTGTCAACATCAGCACACAATGACAGATTTACCAGATTAAAGGACTGAAATAAATTGGCGCTTGAGATTGAGCACAGAATTTCAAATTAAGCAATATTTAACCCCTCTCTACAATAAAAAATAGAAAGTTATCCACATCCAAAGCATTGAATATGGACATTTTTGAACATTTCCACAATATAACTGTTCTAAAATGTATAGGAAAAAATACCATAAAAAGTGGTGTTCAGTTATCAATATCATACTCAGAGTTATTAATGAATGAATGAATTAATTGTCATATATCTCTTCTTTTAATGATAATTAATTTATCTATCATATACCTCAATTGGGTATATGCTCTACAAACTCAGATACTAAGCCTACGACACAATTCTGGACATATTTAGATTTTGTTCTCAAGAACTGAATTCATCTTACTTCATCAATCAAGTGGGGAAAAAAAGAAAGAAATGAAGTTATTGCTTAAAGATTAAAGGTTGAGCCTACAGGACAACCTGGAAGACTTTGCTGCCTCACCTTGCTCCAGCTACCTCCACTGTCCTGCTCAGCTATGATAAGCTCCACTCAGCCAACCCATTTTAACCTAAGCCTCAGCTTCTCCATTCAGCACTTCAGCTCTCTCCAGGTTGAAATGACTATTGTAAGCTGTCCTGTAAGACCAACATTAAGCAATATTGACTTTATAGCATTGGTCAGAGAAGACATTCTGTGGTATAGTCTCAGTGGAGCTCTCTGTTGAATAGTGCATTATAAACTCACAAGAATAGAAGCCATATTAAATTTAGCAAAACTCCAGGATTTTAAGATGGCAGACTTACAGTGGCCACAGCAGCAGCAGCTCTGGGACTGACCTTCATGGGGATTCTTTCAAGTCTCCATTAAAAGATTCACTCTAAATGTATTCAGTTTGCCTCTCAGGCTTCAGCGACGGCACAATCAAGACCCACAATGCATATTTTACTCTAAAAGGCTGTCCTCAAAATCCAATTCTCCTCAGCTTCAAGTGTATGTAAATATTAATGATCCACGGATCTCCATATTCTGCAGTGATTTATGCCACTTTTCATTCCGATCAGGAGGACGCGTTTGCATTTTTGTCCCATAACTTTAAACCATCTGAGTTGTACTATACATACTCAAGTATAATTAGTCTTTCAGTTTCAAAGACCATATAATG